GGGAGAGGTGATGCTCTGGCTCTCGGAGAAGTAGATCCCCAGGTGCTCGCTCATCAAAATCAGTGAAATGACGGAAAACGGCACGAGGAAGGACATGTGCTGGCGGAGCGTACCTCCCGGGAATAAAAGGTCGGACCCTCGGGGGCAAAGTCATGGGATCAAAATCGTCCCCGGCACCCGGAAAGCCTCCACCATGAGGAGAATGACCCACCATTTTCAGAAAATCTGCAAAAGGAGCAAAAATGAGCGAAAATGAGTCAAAATTGGAAAAAGTCAACAAAAGTCAACTCTCGGAAAATGAAAAGTCAACAAAAGTCAACTCCCGAGAAAATCTTTCAAATATTGAGACAAACTCACCTCAAGTGGCGAAAATGAGAAAAGAAGCTCCGAAACCAAAATTTAATCAGTTCAAAGTGCTTGAAACTGACTATTTTCGCGAAAACAACTTGCGTGGAGCGTTAGAAAACGCGTATGGAACTCAGATCTGGAGAAGAAAATTGTGTAGGAGACAAGAGAAGAAGACCTCTCGGCTGCATTTATAGGCTCAAAGTCTTTGGATGAAGGAGCATAAAGAAAGGAGGTGAAAGGACCAAAATGCCCTCGGATTTGGGCAGATGGCCGGCCGGCCACCTTTTCCAGCCGGCCAGCCATTTCCTTTTTGCAAAACTGGCCGGCCACCTCCCATCCCTCATAAAACTAGCCGGCCATGCCCCCCACATGTCCACCTAGCTCTCTGCAAATTTTGAGGAAGATTGGAGTTCCCGGGACCTGAAAAAGTTCAAGAAAAGTACACTTCCGGTCGCGAAATCGCTCCGCCGGAACTTCAGCTTCAAGTTCTGACATGTGTCTCATCATTATTCATCAAAATCAAGATGTATCCTTTTGAATGTGTTGTAGCCTTTCCAGGAAGTGAATCGGAGGCCGTGATCGAGTCGCCTTCGCCGAAACATGCGTTTCCTTGCTCGTTATTTCGTAACAAACGGGCACCCTGATTTAGGCTCGTTTTGCACTATCGTGCACATAACTTGCATTCTCATGAGCATACTTGCATTATTGTGCGCTTTTCTTGATATTACCATACCTCTGCGCTCGAGCATGCTTTGTCACTCACGTTCCTTTCTCGCATTGCGATGTATTCACTTGCCGACACTGCGTGTGTCGAACTTTCAGAATCACATTGAATATATGTTGTTAGCATGTTGTGCTTGTTGAATTTCTCTCTTTTGCAGGCACGATATTGTATGTACGGTTCATTTGAGGCTGGTGCGACCAGACGAATCGCGCAGGGATCATATCTTCTCCGTGTGAGACGTGGCGAGGATTGAATAATCCTCCGCATTCTTAACTGCATGAAATGTAGTTGTTGCTTTGCATTCTTGCTTAAAACTGTTGCATCTATTTGCGAATACTTGCTTCATTACAGCTTGCTGCATTTGCATGATCATTGAGTTACCTCCGGCTCTGTGCATATCGCTTTGCATTTTGCCCCCTTGCCTGCGGGCA